CCTCCCCCCCAGCCCGAAGGGACCCAGTGGGGCCCGGCCCAGTGCTGCGAAGCAGGGAGCGTCCGGAGGTGCCAGGGCCGCTTCATTGGGATTCATGAGCGTGTTGGGCGGGCGGCCCCGGGCTCCGGGCGCTGGGCGGGGGCCGGGTAAGGGGGGGCGCACGGCGGGCGCAGATGCCCGGGTGACCGCCCCGCCGCGGTCCCTGCGCCGCCTTTGTGCCGGGGAGGCGCGCGCGGGGACCTAATCCATCAAATTGTCTACAAATTGTGAAGAAAATTCAAAAACCATATGGTCGCCAGCGCCGGCGCGCTCTGGGCTGCGGAGGGCCGCGGCCGTGCCCGCACCGGGAGCCGCGGGGGGCTGGGCCCGGCTATTGTCGCCTGTCAGCGGCCGCCCGGGCCCATTCGTCCCGGCCTTCATGGTCCGCGCTGCGAATTACAGACCCATCCATCCTAAGAGAGGGCGATTTTTGTCGCCCGGGAGGAACCGGCCGCACGCCCGCCCCGCCGCCCTGCCGCCTCCTTCCTTCTCTGTTCCTTCTCTCTCTTCTCCTCTCTTCCCATTATTTTTTCTCCCTCTGTCTCTGTCTCCCTTTCTCCGTTTCTCTGTTTCTTTCTCTCTGTCCCCACTCTGGCTCTTCGCTTTCTCTCTCTGCTTTTGGAGTGTCTTTCTGCGCTTTTTTTTTTTTTTTTTTTTCCTGTTTGTCTCTTCGTTTTCTCCTGGACACGCACGTTCCTGGCTCGGGCCTGGGGGCCCCATTGCCCGCCCGAGACCAGATGCGCATTTCTCACATCAATTTTGCGGAGAAAGAGAGCCCAGCGGCCCGGAGGCGGGACCCCACTCCGGTGACAGCGGCCACTCGCCAGCCCAGCGACAACAAAAGCCCGGAGAGAATCCTGCTCTGTCCGGGAAAGTGAAAGCGGTCTGGGGGCGCCTCAGACCCGAGAGAGTGCTTGCAAGATCCAATCCTCTGCCCCCAGCAGAATGGCGGGGGGGGAGCAGAATTTGTTAATGTTGCCAGAAATTCACCCCAGCTCCCAGACGCTTGGGCTTACATTTCCAGGTGCCCACATTCGCAATTCAGCTTGGCCTTGATGCCTTTGGCCTCTCGCCCCCTACTCCCCAAGGATGAGGCCCTCGGGGCTGGAACCGAAACTTGGGAGCCCGAAGGCTCCACCCCTTGTCTAACTGAGTGATACCTGCAATGCTCCGGAGGCTCAGCCTGTTTATCAGGGAGCACAGGGAGAATGCCTGTGGGTCTGGGGTGGGGTGTAAGAACTGTAGGGTGGGTCCACCCCTCTAACCCTTTGTTCAACGCAAATTAATGTACTGTCGTGTGCCACACACACAGGCATTTTCTCCCAGCATTTCACGGCTTGCTTTTTACCCCGACCTGGCGAAGCCCGCATCTCTCCCGATTTAGTAGCTGCCTCGGGTTTAAGGGCAGAAGCGCCTCCTCCTGATGCTTCCCCCTCTCCCCTCACTCTAAAGCCTGCCCTGAAAATCCCCCCAAACCTCCAAGGCTGGGGCGACCGGCAAGAAGCAGCCGCAAGAAGCCCAGCCTGCCGCTGCTTCTCGGAAACGGGCCCACTCACTCAAACACGGTCGCCGCCGGTTCTAGTAAAATGGCAAAGACTTTATTTATTGGAGAAAGAGGCCTTGGGTACATTCTGGGGAGGAGAGGGCAAGGGAGGAGCAGGGAAGGGGCACTCGCAACCCACCCTCATCCGGCCACCCCCCTCGGGCCAAGTCGAGCTAGAAGTGGGGTGTTCAAGTTATCAAGAGAGACCCGGAGCTACGGAGGAGGTGGGGTGAGGGCTTGGGTTGGCCTCCTCTCTGTCTCTGTCACATGCAAAAAAATTCTAAAAAGAGTACAAAATAATTATAGGGCTTTGGATTCTGTTTTCGATGGTTGGTTGGTTGGATTTTCCCCTGCATTGTCCCTAAGAGCCGGACTCCAACAGTCAGTCCGAGGAAATGCAGAGGGAGGGAAGAATCTTAAAAATAGCATTAGTGGGCATTAGGAGGCAGAAATGGCATTGAAAACAGACTTCTCTCTCAGAGGGTGGGGAGGAAAGATTGATTTTGAAACTTGCAAGTCAGGACCCGGCTGCCCCCCTCATCCCCTTCCCACTCAAGGAAAAAAGGCAGGAGGAAATAGAAGTCAACTGCAATAGGCCCAGGGAGGCGAAGAGGGAGCGGGCCGGTGCATTCGCCACATGCAGAGAAAAATCAAAACAGCCGGAGCTGCCTGTCCTCTAGACCGCAGGGTCAGTGTTCGCAGCCCTGGGTTCTGCCTCGCCCTCAGCAATCCCGGCAGCCCGAGAGCTTTGAAAACATCGAAATCTCCGAGATTTAAAAAAATAAAAATAAAAGAAAGAAAAAATCAGGCTGCGGTGGGAAGAACCCGATATATAGGTTTAAATATTTATACAGAAGCCATACAGAATTGCACGGCGAGTGCTTCCGGGGCGGCTGAGGCCGCTGGCTGCAGCCGGCCCGGCCGGCCAGCCCGGGTTTATTGCTTCGTGAGGGAAGAGGCGGCTGCCAGGAGCCGAGTCCGGGGCCGGGGACAGGGGAGGAGGTGGGAGTTGGCAGAGGAGGTCCCAGCTCCCCTCGGCGGTCCGGTCCGGGAGGTGGTGGGCTTGCGGGCGCTAGGAACCCAGGGCAGCAGAAGACCTGGAGTGCCGCTCAATCGTCCACGTCGATCTCTTCGTCTTCCTCGTCCTCCGAGCAGTCCTGGCTGCTGGCTGGCTGGTCCGTGAGTGGAGAGGCAGGCGAGAGCTGCAGGGGGCCAGCGCCCGGGGCCTGCGGGGCGCCTTGGGGAAGGACCGGAGAGCCCGGCCTGGACTTGGCCCTGCCGCAGCCGCCGCCACCGCCGGCTGTGGCCTCCGAGTTCTGCTCGAGTTCGGCCAGCGCCACGATGTCCATCTGCCCGCTGGGGCCCAGTTTCTTGGCGGACTCTACATCGGCCTTCATCTCCTCCAGGTCCCGCTTGAGCTTAGCGCGCCGATTCTGGAACCAGGTGATAACTTGCGCGTTGGTGAGGCCCAGCTGTTGCGCGATTTGGTCGCGATCGGCGGGGGACAGGTACTTCTGGTATAGAAAGCGTTTTTCCAATTCATAGATCTGGTGGTTGGTGAAGGCCGTGCGCGACTTTCGCCGCTTCTTAGGGGTCTGCCGCTGCCCAAAGATGGTCATCCCGTCACGGCCTGGGAGGAAAGGACAGTGTAGGCTCGCGTTGGGAGAGAGGAAGCCCCACCCTGGCTCTTCCCCCTATAACTCTGTATCCCACCCAGGCCTGTCTGGCCTGCAGTCTACCAATGTTCCCTTCTCAGATTTAATTCAGCCTCAAGGAGCAGGGCAAGCCTTGGCTACCGCAAACCTCCTCCTGTCTTTGGTCTCCCAGAAGTCCCTAGAAAAAATTGTTTTGGTCTCTGCCCACTACCTAAGAGTTGGTTGGAAAGATCCAAAGTCTCTGAGAGTATGAGAAAGCCAGACGGGGCACCCTAATTGCGATGTGAATGTTGATTCTCCAACCCTTCCCAATCATTTAAACCCTGCCCTACCCAGAAGGTCCCAGCAAAAGACTCGATTCCCCACGCCGAATAGCTGGGCTAAGAGCTCCCAGGACACATGGAACGCAAGGGAGCCCGGAAAGCACGCAGACTACGGAGAGAGGTTGGCCCCTCTCCGGCCACCCCCCAACTCTGGCCTACCCAGAGGCCCCTAGGAAATAAGGACTGTGTTCTGTCCCACCTATCTTCACTCCCATAAGCTGCTCAGCCTAGAAGGCCCTGGCGGCCGGAGCGGGCAGAGGCAAGCAGAGGCATAGGGCACGAAGCGCTCAGGGCACAGGGCACGAGGCGCTGGGTGCAAGAGAACCCAGCAGCTGCGCCTACCTTCGGCTGCCTGCAGAACGCTGACCTCCAGCCCCTTAAACGTCTTACTGGCGAGCTCCTCCAGCGCGCACAGCGGCGAGGTCTGCGAGAGCAGCGCGCGGCCCGCCAGGGGCAAGCCGCCCGGCGCGTGCTTGTCCGCGGCGGCCAGCAGGTGCGCCGCCCCGCACAGCGAGTAACTTCTCCTCACAGACGGCTTGTTGAGGATGTCCTCGATGCTGAACGGCGTCAGTGGTTTGTTGGAGTTGGCGGGCGGAGGCAGGTGGTCCAGCGGGCTGCGCCGCCGCTCCTCCCCCGGCGCCGCCTTGCCGTCTTCCTTGGAAGTCATCTCGGCCTCGTTCGGGGGCCCGGCCTGGGCGGCTCGGGCCGGGGGAACCCAGCCCTCGGGCAGCTCGGGCGCCGGACGGCGCGGGCGGGAGGCGGCTGGTGGGAAGGAGGCCGCACTGGGCAGGACGCGGGCCGGGTGCGGGGCCGATTAGCGCGGCGGCTGAGGCGGGCAGAACAGCGCAGGGCCCCGGGAGGAGGGTGCTGACGCGGGCGCCGCCGCTGCCCGGGCTTCCAGCAATCCGGGGCCGGAGCCGGGGCGCGCTGCGCGGGGCTCCAGTTTCGCCAGCCCCGGTGCTATTTAAAGGTGTCAGGTGGCTCGGCAGTGGCTCCTGGCCCCGGGTCCTGGCGGCCGCAGTTGGAAGAGCCGAGGCGAGGGCGCCGATCCCGGACTGCGAGGGAGGCGGAGAGACGGGGCAATTGACTATTGCTAACAAGTTAGCCTTGATCGAGGTGTAATCAATTATCTGCAGCGGCACTACTCTCTCTTTCTCTCTCCTTTCTCCTTTTCTCCTCTCTTCTTTCTCTCTGTTCTCTCCTGTTCTCTCTCCCTCCCTCCCTCCCTCTCTCTTCTCTGCTCCCCCCGTCTCTCTCCTTCTCTCCCTCTCCCTCGCCCTCTCTTTCACTCTCTGCCTGTCCAATGCAGGCGGCTCTAAGTTGGGAAGCTCATTAATTAGCGGGCCGGGGGTAGGAGGAGCCGGCTGGAATTAGCCTGCCTAATGCGCCTGTCAGTCCGGGCTCCGCGCCGCGCTCGGCCCGAGCTGTTTGTAAATTACATTAGCAGCCCCTTTATTGCACTCGAACCTCTGGCGACGGAAAAGCCACCGCCCCCACCCCAAACTGCGAGCCGCGCTCCTGGCGCACCCGCCTCCCACCGGCTTGGCTGCAAAAACAGCACCCGCCCGGAGGTCTCGGTCTCTCCGACCCGGGATGTGAAGCCCGAAAGGGTGGCGGGAACCCCAGCCTGGGAGGGACGCGGCCGCCGCGCGGGCCAGGTAAGACCAGGAGCCGGGGTGGGCCCCGCTGCCGCCTAGCGTGGACTTTGCGGAGCTGAGATCAAGAGCCCAACACCTCTACCCGTGACCCTGTTGCCCCTCACCCCACTGCCTGGGCGAGGCGCCTGGGGAGAGGGAATTTGAAGCCCTCTTGGGCTGGCCCTCAGGAGGTCAGAGTCGGCTCGGCAGCCCTGGGTGGGCGACGCGGGAAGGGGGTGGAGGACCCTAGGGGTTGGGGGAGGGGGCTAGTTGGGCAGCTCAGCCTTCTCCACTCGGAGAGGCGGAGGAGAGAATTGTTGGTGGCTCTGGGAGCCTCTCCCCCGGCCTGATTCCCGAAGCGGCCGCCCTACCTCCTCTGGCAATCTTGCACACTTTCCTCCGGCATCCGCTCCCCAGGCTGGCTGGGGCCTGATGATAGGCGTCTGACGGGTAGCCGGGCCAGGTGCCGGAGCTAACGGGGCCGGCTCGGTGCCTCCCCGCTGCGCTCCGCCCGGGCCCCGACCGGGGCCCTGCTGCCGGCCCCGCCTAGCCCAGTGCCCGGCTAGAGTGTACCGCCAGGCCGACTCCAGCTGTTCCGGATGCGGGGCGGGGGCCAGGCCGTGGCTGGGGCTTTGCTCTCAGGAACTCGCAGGGAGGCTGGGCTTCCAGTTAGGCTGGGACTAGGGACCTTTGGGCCTGGGATCTGTGAATATCGGGAGAGTGTGTTGTGTACATTGTTACTTGATGGTGTTTGTGTTTTTGAATGTGTTTGTGTGTGGTTCTCCATGTGTATATTTGTGTAAATGCATGTGAACCCGTGGGTATATAGGTGGTTTGAACTCAGCTATTTCTTTCATTTCCCTGAGGCACTCCAGCAGGGCTGTGCCCTCAGGCCCTCCTCTCTTGCTACCCCATTGGGTTTATGTGGGGCCACTGGTCTCCTTACTAATTTTCCACTTCTGCCCTTGGAGAAAGGAGGGGAGGACCTAAAGGGGGTTGGAGTCCAGGGAGGAAAAGCTGTTCCCTCCCATAAGCACAGCTCCCCACACAGCCCTGGCCCTGGCTTTGTTTGTAAACTCCTGAGTGGGTGGGCTGTGGGTTGGGCAGCACCGCTTGGACCAGAAAAAAGCCCAGAGAGACCAATGTGAGAACTTGTGGCCCAGGACAGGGGTTGGGATAGGAAGACTAGGATTTCTTGCCCTGTCACCCCTCATCTCTAACCCCAGAGAGGGAGTGAGCCAAGCTGGGCTGTGGGGCAGGAAGCAGGTTCTCTCTCTGGATGCCTCTGCAGAGCAGAGATAGGTTTCATGATCTGGCATTCACTTGTTTATTTGGAATCATGGCTGGCAGCTCTCTGGAGTAAAAGGGACAGTGTCGGGAGAAAGGGTTCCTGTTTGGTGCCCCAGTGCTGTGAGTGTTGAGAAGAACTCCCTACCCTGGAACTCATCTTTGTCCTGCATTTTTCAGGGTTGGGGTAAGCGAGTGGGGAGATGACAAGTCCTCAGAGGCAGGACTGGTGAGAATGGGCATCACAGTTCCCTCAAAGCTGCAGACCCACCCCAGGGCAGACCTGTCTACTGCTTCCCTGCTGCCCTGGGAGCCACTAGGTGATGCTGACCTAGCAAACGCAGAGTCAGAGCCTGGAGACTGGCAGTCAGAGAAGGACCAGAGGGAGAGGGCGCCAGGGAGCTGAACCTGGGTGGCTTGGAAGCTCTGGGGCCAAGAGGGGTCTGTCTCCACTCACTTCCTACTCTCAGGATCCCACCTCAGTCTTTTCCTGCCATAATCCCAAACCCCTGACCCAGAGCCTCAGGCAAGTGACACCCCCAGTGCTAGCAGGGAGTCAGGGAGACCCCTTTAGATCCAGGAGCCAGGACCTTTGGATCCCAATCGAGAGAAAGAGAGAGAGAGAGAAGGGGGAGGGAGAGAGTCCCTCCCATACTTCCACACTCTTTCTGTCCTCTTCAGTCTCTGCATTGCATCTGGTACTAGCCCACAGGATGGGACTTTAACGACAAGCCAAGCCCCTGCTGTTGCCCATCTCCCAGACCGTCAAGACCAGCAGAGTTCAGGGTTACTGAGAAGCTGACAGGAAGGGGAGGAATGTGAACTGGGGAGCAGAGAGGTCCCTCTGCGTGGCTTGTTCTTCATATCTTATCCTGCTGGCTGGTATTGAGACCTTTAGTCTTCAGCCACACCATGTCAAAGGAACAGGACATTTCACAATCATCTGCTAACTTATTTCCACCACTGTCACCAAATCTTCCCTGGCTGGCCTGTACCTGCTGACCAATCCTATGGCTTGGCTCTTTTGGCCTAATTGGTTGGCCTCTTGGCTAAACACACTTGGGCACACCATATGGCTGGGGGTGTGGGGTGAGGTATGAGGTGCGGGATGTGGGGAAGCCTGTGGTACCACCTGCCTTTTGTTGTTTTAGTTTGATTCACCCAGATCCCCTCATCCAGGCCACCTTTGGAAACGGGCCCAACTGCCCCGCCAACCTTTTCCCAGCCCAGTGGTCCCACCCCTACCTCCACTGCTGGAAAACCCCATAGGGGTGGGGCTGGAATCTTCTGGACTCCTGGGAGCCCAATCCGCTTGCCTCTTGTACCCCTCTTGCAGAGCAATGATGTATATTTTGGGTTTGTGTACTGACCCCTACCTGCCTCCCCTGCCAGAGCGGAGGGCAGGAACCTTCATCTGGGTACTCCGGTTCATCTCGGACCTTCGAAGTCCTGGAAGACACCGGGGCTTTTGCTGAATATTGGTTGAATGACTTCCCATAGAGCAAATGGGGTATACATGATTGTGCAATGTGGAGGGGGATGGTTTTGGCCCCTCAGAGGAGTTTAGAAATTAAAAGGATTCCAGAAATGGGAAGCACGGGGTCGGTGGGGGAGAGCCTGCCCTGACAGTCCAGGCTTTGATCTTTCCACCCGATCCCCTCTCAGCCCCTGTGCTGGGGCAACGCAGACACTCTGGGGGTCTCCCCACCCCCAGTCAGCTGGGCCAGCATCCTCTCACCTGGAGCTGAAAGCAGCTGCTATTTTCCTCCACAGAGGAAATACCTGTCTTCAGAGCCTAATCTACATGCTACCCGGATCCTGAATTCCTGTTTGCTGCTTAAACAGCCAGGGTCCAGGTTTATTCTATCTCAGTGGATAGGGAAGAGATGATTCTGCCAAAAATCTGCTTGCCCTCAGTTTAGGGAATATTCCAGACAAAGAGGAGCGAAAGAACATTTCATGAATTGCCACAATAAGGGGACCCTGCAGACCCAAACAAAACAAGTTAATCCTTAACACAGGAGAATAATTCACTTAAACCCCCAAAGGCTCCATTGGATTCAATCTGGATTGTTTTGGTAGCCCCATTCATTTCCAGATTATTTGTGTAAGCACCAGCGTTGCCTCTCAGGCCAGAGTTCCTTTAGAGAAAAGCGTCTGACATCGCCTGAAACAAGTTAACTTGACCAGCAGTGCGGATCCTTTGCTGTTGTTGTTGTTATTGTTGTTTTTGTCCCATGATGACCTGCTACGCTGAATTCTGAGCGTTTCTTCTGCTAGAGAAGTGGACTATGATAGACAGCCTCCTGCCACCCAGGCTGAGCCAGGACTGCCCGCTTGGTTTTTACATTTTGCCCTGGGCCACTGTCTGCAGTAACAGCAACAATAACCATGACAATAAATACCATAAGCCCTTACCTTGTGCCTGGCTCCAGGCTAAGAGTTTATTCATTTCATTTATTACACACGATCCTTCTAGGTAGCTACTGCTCTTACCCCAGTTTTATGTGATAGGAAAATGAGGCCCAGAGAAGTTAAGTAACCCATCCAGAGTTGCACAGCCTGTTTTGAGTAATCAGGACTCGAACACTGTTTCTTCTTCTGATTCAAGTCTGTTCCCTGAATCCCTGAACCAGGGGTTTCTTAACCAGAGGTCCCCCAAGGACTCTTTGAATGGGCTTCAGGGGCTCTGTAAACCCCAGAAATTGTGTATGTGCACCCAGAGGGTCACATTTTTCTGGGAGCAATATTACATAACACCTAGGACTCTCAAGCGGGTGGAGATCCAGAAAAGGTAAAGGCAGGAATCAGGCCACTGGGGAAGGGGGAGGGAAGTGGCCTCCTCCCAGGCGTGGAGAGCAGGGAGGCAGCTGCTTCAAAATTCAGCCTGGGCTCCAAGCCTGCTCTTGGACCTGCGCTGCTTTCTCTGGCCACGCCCAGCTCTTAGGGCCTCAGCTAGCAAGAAGAGGTTGAGGCAAGGTCTGAGGGCAGGACACTCCTTTGGTTCCCTCCCTGACTCTCCCCTTCCCTACTTCTTTTGCGAGCTGAATTCCTTTAAGGCACTGTGACCTGGTGGCCATACCACAGGGGCCAGCCTCCTCCAGGCACTGCAGTCCTGCATGGAAGGAGAGGGGAGTGCTTCTCCTCTGGAAGTGTTGGGGGGCATAGACAGACCACTGAGTGACAGAGATAGGCAGGGGGGAGAAGAGACAAGTTTCCAGCGACGCTCAAGTCCTGGGCACCCATACTCTGCAGCCTCTGGAACAGCCTTCTCTTTTGGTTCCAAGCTTTTGCTCCCCTCATCCAGGGGTTGGGATGGTTTGTGTCCCTTCCTTTCCTGGCCCTCCTACTTTGTCTCTAATGCCCAACTCATCTCCTGGGGGAAACCTCCTCTGCCTGGTTCAGCTCCTCTGTGCCCCTTAGCACATTCCCCTGGGTGTCATTGTCACATTGCCAGGAATGTGCTGCTTTGTCTGTCTGTCCTGCCTCTCTCTCTCCATCTGTTGTGAACTTGGGAAGGAAGAACCTGAATCACCTCTCCATGCCCCCATGCCAGCCCAGCCTACACCAAGGTCTCCAAGCATTTGTTGAGTAAATAATCAAGGGACAAAAAGAGAGCCAGACATGGAACTTAGCCTGTGTCTCAGAGAGAGGACAAGGGGTAAAAGGGAAGGGTAGGTGCGTTGGTTTTGCCAGCTGCCTACAGATGTGTTTTGCACTCCTGCTGCTCACACCAGTACACACAGAGGGGCCCAGAGACATTCTCTAATGCTTTTTGGCTATGGAGTGCGTTCCCTGGGTCGTGGACCCAGCTGCAATGGTGTGGTCTCACTTAGTAATGAACTTCATTCACTTTTTTTGTGTTTGAGATGAGTCTCACTATGTCACCCAGGATGGAGCATGCAGTGGCACAATCTGGGCTCACTGCAGCCTCGGCCTCCTGGGCTCAAGTGATCCTCCCACTTTAGCCTCCCAAGTAGCTGAGATTACAGGCGTGGGCCACCATGAATGGCTAGTTTTTGTGTTTTTTGTAGAGATGGGGTTTTGCAATGTTGCCCACGCTGGATTTTTTTTTTTTTTAATAGGATTGAGGCCAGGCACAGTGGCTGACCCTGTAATCCCAATACTTTGGGAGGCCGAGGTGAATGGATCACTTGAGGTCGGCAGCTCGAGAATAGCCTGGCCAACATGGCGAAACCCCATCTCTACTAAAAATACAAAAATTAGCTGGGTGTTATGGTGCGCACCTGTACTCCCAGCTACTCAGAGGTTGAGGCAGGAGAATCACTTGAACCCAGGAGTTGAAGGTTGCAGTGAGTCAACATCGCACCACTACACTCTAGCCTGGGTGACAGAGCAAGACTCTGTCTCAAAAAAAAAAAAAAAAGAAAAAGAAAATAGGATTGATCCCCCATCATTCGTTGAGTCCAGGAGCAGAGAGGAAGAATGGACAGAAGATGGGAAGTGAAGGGCAGGCAGGATGGCAGGAAACAGACACCCAGCCACCACCCCAGTAGCCCAGAGGTCTATGAAGAGGATAAAGGAACCTAAGTAAGTGTAAGGGGCTGGGGTGGGGAAGAATCTGGTTCTGTTCCCAATGGAGGAGGCATTTGAGTTGAACTTTGTAAAACCAGGAGCATGTGAAAAGGTGCAGAAGGAGGGACCACCCTGGAGGCAAAAGGAACTACCAAGCACAAGGCCAAAGATGCCACCCTAAGAGAGGATCCAGAGTCCCCGGTATCTCCTCCCTCTGTTGTCCTGGCGGTGCGCTGCTGGGTAAGGGTGAAACCCTCAGTCCCTTGTTTTCCCCCACGGCGGGTCTGCAGCCTGGAGCCGGGGGCTGCTGGGCTCCAGGGATGGCTATTTATTTATTTATGGGGTAAGGGGCAGGAATGGGATGAGAGAGGCTACTTTCCTGAGCCTACAATTGGGGTTTCCTTCTCCTTGCCATCCCCAGAAACTCAAAGAACTGACCCTCTATCTTACTAACCCAGACTGCCCAGAAACCTCATAGTCCAAGCAAAAACCGTGAGTGGTAGTCAGCTCCCTCCCTTTCACAGAGGTCTGTCTCACTGCTGCGGCGGGGCGCCCGGCATAGGCCAGGTGGAAAGGCAGAAGGTCGAGTTGGGACAGACGAGGAGACCAAGGAGCCGCCCACCCGGTAAACGGACATAGGAAAGGCCTGAGTCAGGCTTCTCATAATAAATAAACTGCACGTGAATAATTCAGCAGTCGCACCGCACGGGGGCCCGTTGCATTAGTGCCGCCGCTGCGCGGCGTCCCATACCCCGCGGACGAGAGTAGGCCACTCTTCAAGGCCCTTGAAGAGGGAGTCGTGTAGAAGAGCCCCTGCCCAACAGCATCCTGGATTCTACCCAGGTCGAGTGGGAGAGCCTCCCCGTTCCCAACTCCCTCGGGTCCCCGTGGGTCAGGGGGCCGCCTGCTGGGCAGTCTACCCCAGCTAAGCTGCTCCTGTTTCCCAAGATCTCGGGCAAGAGAAGACAGGCGGTGAGACGGAGTCAGAATAAAGGATGCGGACGTCTGACCTGCGGAAAACCCAGCGAAAACCCAGCATCTGCAGTGCCTAGCCGCCCAGGGAAGGTGGGCGGCTTGGCTCCAAGCAGTGAAGACGCCAGGCTCGGATCTGAGCTCAGAGCTGGGATCCCTCGGAGCTGTCTCATCCTGGCCAGGATTTTCCTTGCCCTGAAGTGAGACCCAGGGAAGCTGCAGGGCCCTCCGCCCTCTCTGAGCTCCCATGTACTTGAGCCTCTCCCCGTTTGTCTTGGGCCTGTGGATGCAATTCTCGCCACGCCAGACTCCCCTATCTCCTCGCCGCCCTCTAGGTACAGTCCGTAGCGCCTGAAGCCTAATTTCGTTTGAGCGGAACCCAGCCCCTTTGGTTGTTCCTAATTCCCACAATCCCTGAGTTCCCGATCCTGAGGGACTGCATCTCACACCCACCAACGCTCAATCCCTCCAGTTCCTCCCCAGCCCCTTCACTTCCATTAATTAGGTCGACTCCCTTCCTTCGCAGCCCCTCCTGTCCCCACGCAGCCTCCCTACACCTCTGCGTTGAGCCTCGGGCCAAGACCTCTGCCCTGGCTCCGCTAGCCCTGCGGGGCCCGCACTCACCAGGCCCGGAAAGGTATCTTCACAGGGATTCCGCAAAGCCAGATCCCAAGCCTCAATGGAGGCCACCAGCCCTCCCCACTACCCATCTTCCTCCTCCTCCTCCTGTTTCTCCTTTCCGCTTCCCTCCGCCTCTATGTATTTCTCATTCTTTTCTTTTGGTGAGGTGCCACCCACCGCAGCCCTGTCCCTTAGGGAGGCCTGGACTAACTCTGCCACCCTCGTGGCCTTAGCCCGGACTCTGAGTCTCGAGGGGCTTCTGGGAGGCGGCAGCAGGGCAGCTCGGGTGTCTTCACAGAGACAGGTGAGGGGGACTGGCGATTCCCCGGCCTCAGATGGCTCTGCCACCGGCTGGCTGTGTGATCCGGGGTAAGTCTTTCCACTTCTCTAAGCCTTGACGGTGGTAAAGGGCAGGAGATTTAGAGAAGGTGTTGGGAGACTAAACCTTTTCATTCGTTTGAGAAAGGGAGTCGCCTGTGTTGAAGCCTAAGGAGGAAGTGAGGTTCTCGAGAATTCTAGATCTGAAATGGCCATTTGTTTTAACGAATATTTTGGGAGCAGCTGATAGCTGCTTTTTATTTTTCTTTTTTACAGCCGATGGGGTGCCAGGCATTAGAACCCTTCCCTCCAATCCTCACCATGTCTCCATTTTGCCAAAGAAGAAACTGAGGTTAAGGTCGCGATGCCCTGGCCAGCACCAAAGGTGGGATTTGAACGCAGATCGCGTTTGGAGCGGCTCTAGTGTTTAAGCCACACGGTATGACATTGGACTGGTGAATCGGGCCCTCGCAGGGCCTGGAGTAACCTAAGCCGAGAGGAGTTGGGCCGAATCTCCAGGTGTTCCTTTCTTTCTGTCCTACGAAAGCTTTGGAATTCTTATTTTCAGGTAAACGATTTTGGCAGTGCCCGGAGAAGGACAGAAGTAAGACCCAAGGAGGAACTTCCTGCAAGCTACGGGAGACCCCCTGGGGCGATGAGGCATGGGCAGCCAAGGGAGCAGCAGCCATCGACCTTGGATCTGTTTTTCCTCAAGAGTCTGTCCTATGGGGCCCGGGGCCCAGTATCCAGCCGCAATCCTGGACCCAGGGGGAGAAGGGACTTGGGGAGGAGGGCAAACCCTCCCGCCCCCGGCCCGGGACCGACGGCAGCCCTAGCCAGTCCCCGCTCTCTCCCTCTCCAGGGGCCTCTCTGTGAGGTCGGGTCTTCCTAGCTGCAGAGCGTGGGGGGCTGGCTGCAGGGCAGCAGAGTGGTAGCCAGGGCCTGGGACCCTCTGGTTGGTCAAGGAGGGGCTGGAGTCTGGCTCCCAGTGACCCAGTCCCCAGTCACAGCCGTGGGGTCGCACGTGGTGGCGAAGACAGGCCACGGGTCCCTCGCCACAAGTCCCATTACGTTGTATTTATGTTTCACTTTATTGTTTTTTTCCTCCTCCCTTATTATTGTCTCACTCTGGGGGAGGCAAAGGATATAATATATTCATCTTTATTATACCAAATCTGTGTGAAGCATTTAATAAAACGCTGTTTCCACACAGCCAGGGATATTAGTGTGAGCTATTCTTAACTTAATGCTCCTGGACGGAGGGCGCCGTTGCCACAGCGCCTGCTGCCGGTGGGTCGCGGGAAGCGCAGGCACTGGCCGTCGAGCTCCCAGCGCGGGTCCCGCGCTCCGGGTGGCCTTCTGGCCTGCTCGTGGAAGCCCCCGTGCCCATTCTACCGCGTCTGTCTGTGAGCCCTCGGCCTCCAGCCTGTGAGGAGGGGCTCGGAAGAGCCGAATTCAAGCACCATCCTTCCTCCCCGCTGCCAGCCTGGCTGGTTTTCGAACCTACTGTGGGCCTTGGTTTGCATCTATGAAAATGGGAAGAATTCCATCACTGTCTCCCTCTCAGGGCTTTTGAGAGGCCAAAGACGTCTTGAGGGTTGACAGGATTTTTTAAACAGGAAAGAAAAAATGGAGAATTTGTAAGGTCAGGATCAATGAGGGCCAGAGAGAAACAGAGGTGGCTTCAGGCAACAGAGATCAAGCTGGACCCCAGGAGAGCAGGCAGGGTGCAACTCTAATGTGGGCAGAGCTCAGGAGGTCTCGGCATGCCTGGGCCTCACCCCCGCCCACAAAAACAGCTGATCCTAGTCAGGATTGATCTCGGCCTGTTGGTCCTCACATAATCCTCCCTCTAGGTAGGAAAATAGTGTTTGTTTTGTGTTGCTTTTTTTGAGACAGAGTCTTGCTCTGTCGCCCACACTGGAGTGCAGTGGGGCGATCTTGCAATCTTGGCTCACTGCAGCCTCTGCCTCCTGAGTTCCCAGGTTCCAGCGATTCTCCTGCCTCAGCCTCCTGGGTAGCTGGGATTACAGGTGCACACGAGCATGCCTGGCTAATTTTTCTATTTTTTAGTAGAGATGGGGTTTCACCATGTTGGCCAGGCTGGTCTCGAACTCCTGACCACAAATGAACCGCCCACCTTGGCCTCCCAAAGTGCTGGGATTACAGGTGTTGAGCCACCATGCCCAGAGGAAAACAGTCTTTTTAATTCGTTTTACAGCTAGCAAACAGGCTCACAAAGATCACGTGGCTTGTTTGAGATGCCCAAACTAGGATGTAGTATAGCAGGTCACCAGACTCCATGCCCCTCCCAGCCCCCCTTCTCCAGAGTTTTTCTGTAAACCTTACATTCTGCCCTCTGCATGCGCGCACGCGCACACACACACACAAACACACACACCCCTACCTGGAGATGACCATGGGAAGGAGAAACAGCCTCATGACTTTCTATATCCAGGCCCACTGCTCAATGTCCTTCAAGCCTACTACCTGGCTTCTTATAGAGCTCAGATCTGGACACAACAATCTTACTTAGGCTGCTTGTACCAGTGCTGTAGGAGAGAGGGAGCTGGCAGTAACCAGGCCAAGCCAGGCAGAAGGAATTGTGCAGGAGAGGCTTGAAGTGGGCAGGTGGGTCTCCCTGGCTAGAATTCATACCCTCCCAGAAATCTCAGTCTTCCTCCGTCCCGTCCCCATCTCTCCATCCTTGGGAGTGGGGGCTGCACCAGGTCAACCCACATCCTATAGACTACTGGTCAGAGCTCCTTTGGAGACAAGTTACTTGAGAAATCTGACAGTTCCCCCCTGAGGCTGGCTGAGGAGGAGGCACAGACTGTGTGGCAGGGCTAGGACTAGGGTGAGGCAGGTGAGGTGCCATATTTAAGGAGGGCATCTGCTCTCAGCACTGTGTGTGATCTTTTAGGATTTGTGTCTTGGGCATCTCACTGGCCTTACCCTAGTCCCAGCTCTGCTGTGTGGTCTGGAAGGTAGGATCAAGGCCAGTGAATTGCTGAGAGGGAACAGGGAAGCTGATTTCAGCTCATCCTTGAGAATGACTTTCTGAAGCATCAAAGTGGAAACAATGGAATGAGCTTCCCCCAACACATGGAGTATGCAAGCAGGGCTCAGCGCCTGCTAAGAAGGATAATAATCACCATATTATTGTCACCATTAACCATCACTTTGTGTCAAACAAAAGCTTTAGTCAATGTTGTTTCGTTTAATGTATATAAATGTATTTTAGCTGAAGATGGGCTATCAGAGTCTCTGACCTTTGGCATCCTTTCCAGCTCCAAGAGTCCATTGTTGCATAAGACAGAGCACTTCTGTTGATTTTGGTTGGTTCAATGCATTGTTGTTAGTATTTGTGGACTTACCGTCTTATACTAATGGATAAGCTCCTAGAGGGCAGAGTCTGTGTCTAATCTCATTTTTTTAAATGATTCCCTCTCCTGTTCCATGCTGACCAGAGGCCTGGGCACATAGAATAGAAGGTGTTCAATAAATGTGTATCAAACAAACACATGAGTAAACCAATGTCTAAAAGCTCGGCTTACCTGGACATTTGCTTTCTGGGCTGTGACTGACAGAGCCACTAGGGGAGCCAGAACCACCTCTGCAGTCATCCCCCTTTCTATGGCTGAGCTGAGTTCAACTAGGCGTGTCTAGAGCCTCCCCTGATATCATGTGCCTAGACCTTGCTAGTTTGTGGATAAGACAAGGCCCAGCCCAGGTTCTTTGGAGAAGGATCTCAAGACTCATACTGGACAAACCTCATGAGAAACCATTCAGATGGTGAGGGAAGCCTCTGGAGATCAGAGCAGGGAAGGGCCCTGCAGCCAGTGAAGCCTGTCTGGCAGAGCTGAGACTACCGCTAGTCCTTGAAATATGAGAAGGATTGAGTGGTTGAAGGGAAGAAATTTACCATCCTAGCTGGGTGCAGTGACTCACCTATAATCCTAGCACTTTGGGAGGCCAAGATTTACTTAAGGCCAGGAGTTTGAGACTGGTCTGGCCAACATGGTGAAACCCCGTCTCTTCTAAAAAATACAAAAATTAGCCATATGTGATGGCACATGCCTGTAATCCCAGATACTTGGGAGGCTGAGGCAGGAGAATCACTTGAACCCTGGAGGCGGAGGTTGCAGTGAGCTGAGACTGCACCACTGCGCTCCAGCCTACGTGATAGAGTGAGACTCCATCAAAAAAGAAATAGACCATTCTAGGTTGGAGTGATGGGGAGCAAGAGCAAAGGGACAGAGGCAGGAATGCCCACAATCGTTTTGGGGAAAAGGCAGCCTAGCCTGGCTAGAGTCCCTGAGGAACACAAGTGGAAAAGACATTTGTGGAATGCCTTGAATGTCCAGGCCCAGAGCCAGAGAACAAAAAATAGGGTTCAGAAATCAGAATCCATATCCTAGAGCCTAGAACTCAGGAAGCAAGGGCAAAGTTCAGGACCCCGTCTTGTCTAGGGCTGTCCCATTAGCTGCTGTAACAGGATGCCTTGGGGACTCCAAACTCAAGGTGCATGATCTTATTGGGAAGCAAAGTGGATTTTTCTAATTGGCTTAGTCCAGGAAACCAAAGGCCTGACTCAAGCACAGGACCAACTTGGGTCTACCTGAGACTTGCCCTCCAGGACTGGCATGAGCAGCTGTCTTGGGTCTCTCCAAATCACAGCCTGAAGTCCGGCATTATCTGTAGCCCAGCAGGCACCCTGAGCTGGGTCAGACATTACCACCAATATACACCTTCACACCCTTCAATCCTCCCTTCTGTTCTCTAATACAGGTGGAATCTGAGCTTTTAGGCTAGACCCAGCTGGGGCAGGCCACTGGAGGGTGGAGCCGTAGTGCCTGCAGCAGTGCCAAATGAGCCAGCGTGTAGGCGTTGCTGTGCCGGCCTGTCACGGGGCGCAAGCCTGCCAAGGAGCCGGAGTGCTGTGCCGTGTGGAGGGTGTCAGGGGTGGTATTGTCAGCGCACAAATGCTCAACTTTATGTACTTTTAACTAGAGGTGTAACAGATGGCCCCGTTTCTGTCCAAGCCAGGGAGACTGGTGCCCATTCCGGCTGCAGCCAATCAATCCTGCCACTCTGGGGGGAGCTACAAGCTGGGCTGGGAGGCCTGGAGCCAGCAATTGCGCAAGGCTGTCTGCTCTGCTCAGGCTGGCCCAGTGCAGCCTCCGCCAGCCGCTCAGCCATGGGCCTGGGGAGGTAGGAGGGCGGGCAAGTGGCAGCCATGCCTGGAGCCTGGTCAGAGGCCTGCCTGGGAGGAAGAGCCTGGAACCACTCACCAGGCCCCACATGGCCAGTGAGGACAATCAAGGTGCCAACCCACCCCACTGTGTCCTCATTCTCCTGTGGTCCTTGCTCAGGACCTAACTACCAGATCTCTAGCTTCAAGAAGCTTTGGATCTATAGCCCTGTAGTGTCCTGTGTTATGAACAGCAGACATTCTCAGGACTGGGGTGAATAGTGGTGCCATTGGGAGAAATAGTCACAGTACTGTGAAAGGCTTCAAGAAGTGCCCAAGACAGCCAGAGAAGAAGAGAAAACAGCAAGTGCCAGGGATCCCAGAGCTGTGAATTAATCTAGTCTTACATTCATATAGTCAGTCAACAAACATTTAGTGAAAGCCTACTGTGAGCTAAGTCCTTTATTAAGCACTGAGGACATGATGATGAATAAGACACAATTCCTGTCCTTGAGACTTTTTTGGGGGGAAGACAGGCAAATAAACTGGTAATTGGAGCAATGAACTAGGGCTCATAAAATCTCCAAAAAGGCTGTGGACGCACAGGACAAGAGCATTTAACTGCCTGAGAGACCAAGGGAAGATTCCAGTAGGGGGTTGGTTCTGAGCTGGGTTTGAAAAGATAGGTAGGAGTTTTCGTGGGAGGTGAGGGTGGAGGAGGGCATCAGAGCAGGAAGGGATGGCATGAGCAAAGAAATGGTAAGAAAACATGGTGAAGGTAAGGGTCTGAAAAGATGTGAGTGGAATTGGGGTTTGGGAGTTGGGAGAAGGAGTGGAGGGGATGAGGCTGGGCAGGGGAAGGGGCAGGTGTCTTCCCTCAGTTGTCCTTTCTGTCACCTTCTGCCCCCTATCTGGTGCCACAGGGCAGTCAAGGCCTAGCAGCATGTAGGCAAGTGGTCCAGACTGCTCCAGTCCTGGCCTGCCTTTTGTTCTGCGTTGAGGGACAGGGCTGTGAACTCCCCTAACCA